GCGTTTCTAGTACTAGCTTTCTGCTCTTCCCCAGTAGCATATTGGACACCTTCCAACCTGAGAGGCTCATCTTCCAGCGTCAATTTTTTTTTATTTTTTATTTTTGCCTTTTGATACTGTCCATGGGGTTTTCATGGCAATGATACTGGAGTGGGTTGCCATTTCCTTCTCCAGTGGATCATGATTTGTCAGAGCTCCCTGCTATGACCCGTCTGCTCGGCATAGCTCTTAGCTTCATTGAGCTGCGCAAGCCCCTTCACCATGACAAGGCGGTGATCCATGAAAAGGATATTTAATAATATAAATATTGCTAGCAATTTGCATTATATTAAAACAGCTGTTCCACAATTGGTTTTATGGTTCCATAAATTCCTTGGAACGCTGCTGATTCCAGGAATAGTTTACTATTTCTAGAAACTCTCCTCTTAAGGGCTGGGAGGATATATTTTGAATTGTAAGAGATGCTGCAAAATGAACTTGAAATGTTTTACATGCAAATACACCTTTTACCACTGACTGCATGCTACCTACAGAGTGTAAATCTCTTTGTTTTAAATGTTTTCTTGGGCCAACATCTGCTAGTCCTTTGAATTTTGTCCAGCTTATAAAATCAATTATTTCAGCGTGGTTTTCTTCTCTTTTATTCCATATAGTATTTTTATTTAAATTTACAATTTAGGTGTGAATTTAATTTTATTATCTTGTGCAGCTGGTAGAAAGGTAATTAAAAATAATAATGTATGCAAGCAGGATTTCCTGCTAACAAAGCTAAATCGCGTGCCACAGCTTATTTCCCCCCCTTGCTGTTCTACTTATCTTCCCAAGCCTCCTTTTGGTGCGTACTGCACATACGAGTGCATGCGGCGCGCACCAAAAGGAGGCTTGGGAAGGTAAGTAGAACAGCAAGGGGGGGGGGAAATCAGCTGTGGCACACGATTTAGCTTTTCTAGAAAGCAGGAAATCCTGCTTTCTAGCGAAGCTAAGTCACGCACCACAGCTGATCCCCCCCCTTCTACTTACCTTTCTGTCCCCTTTTGGTGCATACTGCGCATACACACGCTGCACGCATTTGCACATGCGCGGCCAGTGAACCGGTAGCAAATCGGTTCAGATTTCACTGAGGCAGACCCAAACTAGGTCCTGATCAATCATCTTGTAAGCAGAACAGTATTTGGGACCAGGGCTCACATTCTAACAAACAAAACAGTTGAGTTTCCACATAATGGAAATGAGTATTGTTTTGATTTTAGAAACCAACTTGAAAGTTACGTTTTTTGGAAAGTAGCCTACATAGAGATACAGAGTTATTACTTACTAGCTGGAAGGACTGGTTGTAGGGGCAGAAGCAGCTTACAATTCCTGCAACTTTATTCTTTTGTTTTCACAAAGCGGGTAATAGCATTGTTTTTGTTATGTAGAAATGTAAATATTGGCAAACCTATCAAGTGTGAAAATTGGCATTACAACTTTAATTGCACACTTCCATGTGGTCCAATTGATTTTAGTTAGTCTGTACAGATATGACTGAAGGCAGTTTGTTTTGCAGTCTTTTAAGTTGTCAGAACCTTCAGGAACAGAGAATAGTAATTCTAGGATCAATAATAAGAGACAGATATTGTTCACCTGCTGTGTATTGTTTTTAAGGAAATCATGAGACACTAAACAGATGAGGAAGAGGGGGAGGAACTACAACTGTTTGCAATCATACTTACTAAATTTTCTTTTCTAGATATATTGATAAATGGCAGAGAATAACTGCTCCGAGACCCATAAAAACCAAAGAAAGTGTAATAGACTGAAAGAATTCTGACTGCAAGTCCTGTGAGACATATTTTGACTGAAGCATCTGTACTGTTATATCTTCATGTATCTGGCAATACTGTAACTTTCAAGCCAATTAATCAGGTTTAAAGATATATTTTACAGAAAGCACGAGGTATATAATAATCAAAAGAACCAAGGTGTTGTACCACAAAAGTTATTTAAGACTGACCTTATATTTGATAAGCGGGTGACACTGAATTACTGTCTTATAGAAACTCAGGATTCAGACTGTGAAACTCCAGGGGATAGTCACTCATGATTCTTATAGTTATGGTGCAGGCGGGTGTAGAATGATTTTTACTGTAACATGCACATCAAATAAAATACTTCAAGTCTCTGTGATCTAGAGATTTACCTTACAGTTCTTTATAAATTGGAAGTTTGACCGCACATGCATTTCAACTATAGCCCATGTTTTAGACTCTCACATTCTTTTAATGTTTACTAGAACTACATATAAAATTCCAACTACATATAGTATCACAGCAAAAGCTAAATATTTGGCATTATTATTAAATTTGTATGCCACCTATTTAACTCTATAAAGCAACTCTAGTAGTCTAGTTTACATTTTCTTCTATATAAATCACTAACAAGAAATTAATCTTTTTTAGGAATTGTATATTTGCTTTTCATCGTAGTAACTGTCTCAAGACTTCTATTTTGTTTGATCACTTAAACCAGAGCTCATCAATATAATTCCTCCCCAATGTACCGTATGTTTGATATATTTGCAATCAGCAGAGATTATGAACTTGTACTTACATACCAAGTACTGTACAAGTTAAGCAATTCATAGCAATCTGTAATATTTTCTATTATCCATAATTTTGAGTCTTATGGCATTTGCCTTTAACTGCAAAATTAAAATCAGAAAGATCTTAATTGTTCTGGTTCCAGAACAAGAGTTTATTGGGGACACCACTTTCCCTTCATTCCACAAAATTAAAATTATGATTCCCTCTTCGGTGTAGCATTCTGTATTCAACTGATAATTGTCCAACATATTATTTCAGTTTTCTCATATATTTTTCAATCACCAGCTCTTATTCTTGTTATGTCCCATCTGCATGTTTATAAATCATTATAAATCATTTGTGATGTTTTTAAGATTGTTTGATATATGCATGTTACCCAAAGGTAATGGTTTCAATAGGTAGTTATTTAAAATTATAAAGAAAAAAACTGTAGTGACAATATTCACAGGTAAAAAGGTTAAGTATCACCTTAAATTTAAGTCTTCAATGATTCTACCATTCTTTAGAATAAATCTTTGTAGTCAATTATATTTTGCAATAATCAATTTTGAATACATTTATGAGAGGGGTAAAATCAATATAAGCCAGATATTACAAAGAAAAGTTATGCATTTACTTGAACATGTTTCCACTGAAGTAGAATTCCCTTTGGGGGAAAAAAGTATCTTAAGGTTTCATAGACATTTAATTCAAGGACACAATGAGTCTTTTCCTTGTTGAGTCATACATGTTCCTAGTTCACCTACAGTTCAAGTATATTTCACATACTCTTTTGACATTCTGCTCTTTTCTAATTTTTAAACAGGGACAAGGAAACAATGGTGTGTAGAGTGCTGGGCATGATTATAAACTAGAAAGGTTTTCTAAAGTTGCCACCTTGGTTCTGATGGCAGAAGTCAGCCAGACAATTAGAGGACTATGTTAAGTACCAATGAAAGGAGTGAATGCTGTATTCCATTTGTGTGAAATTAAACCCACTGAATTGTTTCATGTGTGGATGAGGCAGATGGACATATACCATGTTTTCCCAAAAATAAGCCCTCCCCGAAAATATTTAATTGCATGCGCAGCTGGTCCCTGCCATTTCCTCTGGTTAGGGTTAGAGAGACAGAGCTGGAAATCAGGTATGATGGCAAGAGGAGCCCCGTCTTGCTCCATGTGCCCCAAAATAAGAAGACCTGCCCCAAAATAAGACCAAGTACTTATTTCAGGGTTCAAAAAAATATAAGACAAGGTCTTATTTTCGGGGAAACACAGTAATATAAAGCTATATAATCACAACTTATCATTTCTCTGGACATCTAAAAAAGATTTTTGTTAAGTTTAATTTTCAGTTTGAAAATCACATTCCTTCCATTCATGGAGGATAAACCAATCCATCTTCCTATGTATCTTTTACATTAGTGTTTCTGTATATTGATAACTTTAAGAAGTGTAGACTTCAACTCCCAGCATGCTGGTTGGGAAATTCTGGGAATTGAAGCCCACACATCTTAAAATTACAAAGGCTAAGAACACTGTCCTACATGATTACTTCCTTGATAAAATTATAAAGGGCCATCTTGGCATTTAAATCCCTTTTATTTTGTTGCATATATCTTTATATATAATTTGTAATATGAAATTGCATGTAGTGAAGAGTATTAAAAAGTTTAAAACATTTATAAGTTCTCAAAACTGGAACGATGGCAACTTTTGCTATATATTTATTAAATGACTCATGAATTTAAGTAATAAATCCATGACTAACCTACTCAAGTAATCAATCATTTGTTTTCTTTCCCAGCAGTATAAAAGTATAAAGCAACTTAAAGATCTAGTTCTAGAAAACAATATATTTATAGAATATTTCTTTGAAATATTTAGCTGAACAAGGTTAAATAAGTGTTTTTAGTTATTAAGACTAGTTATTCATGCCCCTTTGCTTGATAGTCCCCACCATTATGATTGCACGGCAAAATAAGAAATGTTTGTCTCGTCTCAATCATAAAATCTAGTAATTTCATGTATTCATTCAGCTTCAACTTTTGCTTTTACAGGACTTCATTTCCACTAAAAGAAGCAGCTTTGTTTTGCAGCTAAAATGGATTATGAATCAAAATATTAATACCAAATCTATTATACTGCACTACAACTGGAAAGTAAACATGGAAAATACATTTACTTTCGGCAATACATATATAGCTAAAGCATAATGGGAAGTATCCCATTGTTGTCCCAGTGTTGTCTTCTAAAGTAATAGTTTGCTCTGCAAATGTATTATATACCAGATTTCAGTTCATGAAATTTGAACAATTTTTTTAAAAAATTCTTTATTTAACTATTAATAGATAATAAGAGAACAATATTGAAAGCCATGCTTAAAATATCCAGCTGCATTAACTTTGAACCTGTCAGCTATTCAAAAGCAAACGATAATGGTGTTATATGTAGCCTGGATTGACTGAACTTTTATTTGTGAATAGAAACCCATTAATATCCAACTGGTGTATCATTAGCAGCATTAGAACAGCAGCATTAGAAGCTATGTTGTTTCCATCTTGTAGCAATGCTTTTCCAGTTCTGCTCTGAAAAAGTAAAACATTTAGAGTATTAAATTATGAAAAATACCTATGGGATATTTTTTATTATTAAAAAATGACTTGAAATCAGGTTAAATTTATAAATTGGTTTAAATCAATTAAATATTTTACAATCTTATGAGAGTTACTCAATTACATTTATAATAGTGCTCCAAGCAGATATATGGTTAAATGCAATCTTGAACGTCAATATAATCTCCAGGTTGGGGGCAACATGCCTCCAAGAACCAGCTGCAAAGGAACAATGGCAGGAGGAAACTTGGTCTCTATCTCCTTGGAACTTATCTGGATGGTTAATGAGAAACAAGACTCTATCCTACTTCTTATGAACTGATAAGTCATGGCCAAATTGATTTAATATAAAACCAAAATTCCACATAGTTTATTTCATCCAAACTAAAGCACAACTTAAATACCATATATATTTTATTTTATTCTCTTAAGATGGCAAATTAATTTTTTTATTAATCATAGCTTACCGTATCATCAAATACAAATAAAGTATCTTAAACAGGAGCATTTTCAAACTAGCTTTTATAAAGTTAGCATTTATTAGCCACATAAAATTAAATTTTAGGAAATGTATTTTATATATAACAGAAATTTCTTGTAGTGCTAGAAAAGGAAAGAAGGAAAATGCTTATTTTATAAACACATCAATGTTAAAAAGTATATCTAAACAAATTTAATGTTTTATCAGTAATATATAGTTCCATTATTATGTGTTATAATAAAGCAGAACTTAAATTTATTTTTAATGCTTTGAGATATAATTCTTGTTTTAGGGGTAACCTATATATGTTTTCATTACTGATATAAACTGAATGTTTTTAATGTACCTTAACTGGTTAGAGAAATCATCTTCCACATTATCATCATCCCAATTATCTTCCCACACATGTGCATCTTCATCTTCATCTAAACCAGCCCAGTCTAAAATAAAGCAATGAACAATATTTTAATATATAATTCATGAATTTAGACAACGTAATCTCAGTAATTTATAAATCAAAATGTTTCATTTCTTTTTAATTTCCAACAGGTTTAAGTTTCATAAATAACATTTTTAGGAATAATAATAATTTTGGTATATGACTAAATTAAAATTGAATAATAAATTATTTTAAACAGTGATATGTGATGCATTTGTTTTGTTTTTCAAGCAATGTTTTTAAGTTCCAGGTATCAAGACTATCAAGTTCCATCATGAACAGAGATCATTTAGTACTTAGATTTTGGCCAGAGCCAAAAATCATGGTTTGTAAAAAATGACTGCAATCAAATGAATCACCGAGTGATTTTTCTCAAAACCTGGCCGATATTTTACAGCCACCAATATTCCCAATTTGTGAGTTTGGACCACCCTTGTTTAATCTGTAAGAAATGAACAAGTTGAGTGAGAATCGAACAACCCATTTAACAAGATGGGGCAAAGAAATGAAAGAATGGAAACCAGATTCTGCCTAAATAAAGATCACTTATGAGCACTTAATTTAAAACCAGCAATGGTACACATTAGGAGAAACTAAGGGTTTAGAGTTCTGGCAGGTGGCAAGAAACAATGAAAGGTCAGTTACTCCTTAGGTACTGCTCTAATATCAATTGGAATTATAATAGCTGGGAATTTAATGCCTGATGTGAGTAAGTTGCACATCAGATCTTATCCTCTTTGCAAAACAAGTGGGAGCTCAGACTCTTAAATAGTATGATTTTCTTCTAGCTGGCTTTCATACTATCAGCATAAATATATAAATCTGAGATGCACAACGAGAAAGGCTGATAAATGAACAATTTTCGAGGGAATATCAGATTTGGTAGTAACTGCTACTGGTTACTAAAATCAAAATAGTCTATTCAAATGTTTATCTCCACTATTCCCATGTAGCACAAAAGCAGAGTTTAGTCTTATTCCTAACAATAGTGTTATTGGAAGCAAAACAATATACAGTTTGTGAGTCAATTCACCAGATTTGCAGAGAAATTATTACAACTTTATCCAGTGATGCTTTTCAAAAGTCAGAACAGTTTAAGACATTTACATTTTTCTTACTAAAAGTCATTTCATCATCGGCACATGCACATTGGTTCAAGAAAAAACCCTATATAGCATAAATCCTTTTATATTTTGAAAAATGCACTGATTTGGTACAGATGTACTCATACATAATTCTGTTTTTCAGATTAAGAAGGAAGTCTCAGATTAAACAGGCACTCTTTGCAGTGTTACTCTTCTATTAACTTTACCACGGCTCAGATTCTTAGTGCTGGTTAACCATATTTCGTATTTAAGAAAATAGATCATAAACCAGAATTAGAGATTAATTTCAAATTGTATTTGATGTCTGTGGTTTAAAAAAAAATTACAATCTTAACTGAAATTAAGGGCTTGATTAAAAAAAACATTTTTTTTTTCAAATTTAAATGAAATGCTTAATCCTTATAAACAAAGATCGGAAAGCTTCAGAAAAGGAATATGCAAAATAGAATTTCCTCTACTGTCTCAGTAAAGCAATAAGGAACATTGTAAAAGATCCCAAAGAGATCCAATACTGATTATCAGTTATAAATTACTGTTATTTTGATAAATTCATAAAATCTATTACATTACACTTTGATTCAAATATTACACTTTGTTTAATGTCATGTCTAAATTTTAAAAAATCAGAATTATGATTATATATAATTATAATTTAATAATGAATCCCAAATGTACATCTGTGGAAATAAGAAATAAATCCCAGTAAGTTTTTCTGGATCAAGAAACACACTATAAGTAGTAGGAGCAGCAACAGCTAGCCAGTACGAAAGCTAAATTTACCTCCAAGAAGCCAAATATAGTTAATATTACTCTCCAATGTAGTATTTAATAATCTTCTTCTGTCACATTAAAATTTTCAATAAATCTTGGAGGTGTTTAGATTATATTTTAATAAACTGAGGTTTTTGTTCTATAAAGTTATCATTTAGTCAAATCTAGCAGGTGTATATTTGATTAACATCTACAATTCTAGCTTTAGCTTAACTGGACTACTGAAAATATTCTTGGAAATTAATAACAGGCTAATGACTATAATGAAAACAAAATGCTTTATTCACTTTTTGTTTAAATTCAGAAATATAGCATACAACTGTAGCCGAAATATTTGTTTCAGGGTGTATCACCTATTTAATGTATATTTGAATTTGAATGCAGTTGATTAACTCATATCTTCAGGAAAAAAATGTACTTTTATTGAAAAATATATTTGTAAAAAAGGCGCCTTCAAGAAAATGCATGCAGACTTGTTGTGTGACACATACTTATTATATTACAGCACATTACACACTAATTTTCTAGACAAAAAAAAAAACAAACCCAAGAATTTTCCAATATGCCAGAATTTTCCTAACAACTTTGGGTAACACAGTAAGCCATAGTGATGATGGTTTTATCAAAATATAAGACCAGGGGCATAAAATCAGTATGTTTTATATAACTTTCAGCATTCTGAATATGATTTGTCTAGGAATATTGTCACCCCACAGATTTTTATTCACTATTAAATCTGCTTCACAACAAATTGGACTAAATCGGTTTAAAATGAATAGAACATTCATCTTTTCAAAAATAAGATAGTAAGACTCTTATTTATGCAGATATCCCAAAGATGCTTTTTCAAAAGGCAACTGGCCTTCCTTGGTTGTTTCATGTTTTGCTTCTCATCCAAGAACCTGCTTTAGTCCTGAAGTGAAACCTTTTCAAAGAAAAAAACAAGGAAGTCCAGTAGCCTTTTGGAAAAGCATCTTTGGGATAACCATGACCTGGATGATTAAGAATCTCTATAGATATTAATGCAGCAGTATGCACCGACACACACACACACACACACACACACACACACACGGGCACAGCTGTGTGTGTGTGAGTTGGGGGGGAGAATTTATTTTTAAATGGAATTATTTAAACTTCTGTAATATTTTTTAAAAAGTTTTTGAAAATAGCTTCCTTACATTAGGAAGTACTGTTGTAGCATAACAAGATACCAATAAAAACAGAACAAATCAATTTCAGATTGCTGAATACAGAATTAAATAAATACAGAAATAAATAAATAAAATAAATTGAATACCAAATTAATTCCTAGAATATAAGAAACTTTAAACATTACTTTAGAATGTGTTTTGATTATATATTAATATAATTTTTCACTGCAAAACTTAATTATAGCTTCCATATATCAATTGCTAATTGGTATAATTTGCATTAAAATTATTGCATCTAAAGCTTTTGACTTCTAAAGTAAAGTGAAGGCCTTCTGGCTACTAAATAGATAACAAACCTCAGTTTATACATAAAACAATAAATACCTTATACCAGTAAACACAATCAAATCCGTAATATATAAGGGGCACAAAACAAAAATTTTAAATTAAAACATGGGAAAGTGAATTTATTTTAATCCAAAAGCACCTCTGCAATTAAATATATTAACAAATACACAGCATTAGAGTAAGACTTTTACATTTACATTATTTTAGTTTCCTAGTATAATTTATCGATTGCTTAATTAGTATCCTATGACTATCACTAAGTGTTGTATCTTATGATTTATGATGAATGTATTTTTATGATGACTATGATGATGATTTATCAGTTATAACTTTTGTGTACACTGAGAACTTATGCACCAAATACAAATTCCTTGTGTGTCCAATCAATAACAATAAATACCTTATACCAGTAAACACAATTGGCCAATAAAGAACTCTATTTTCTATTCTACTTATGCTTATTTAAATACCAAAAAATCTAATTTAAATATTTGCATTCACTTAGAGAAGTTAAGCTAAACCAAGAAAATCGTTATTCTTTAAGCCACTGTCAATTATTTAGAAGGAAAACCCGGGTCATGATTTTGCTACATTTAATTTACACCAAATATGTGTGGATCCTAAATTTATTCATTATTAACTGCATGTTACTATTCAAATCAAAGTTTGGATACGACAAGTGTTACAAGCATAACCCACCCACTTTCACGCCATCATTTATGTCAATCAAGACATCATTTGGTGGCTTGCTCAAAACACCTGCACTCGATCCAATAAATAGTATGAGGCGTCTTCCCTCATACCTTTTAAACCCAGTTTTTGCAAATGAATATATATATATATATATATATATATTTAGCAGCCTAAAGAAAGCCAAGCATACACCTGTGTTTCTAAAAATCGATTTTTCAGGTGGAGTGGACTATCCTTCCCAGAATCCCCAGCAAGGCCGAAGAACTTCAAATTACGCCTCCGTTTCAGAAAGAACGCGGCTTTCTTTCGCCCCACGGAAAGTTTTGACTTCTTTTCTGACAAGAGAAAGGGGGGGGGGGGAGAAGGGAGGCCGGACCGCCGTTTACGACGCCCGGAACCTCTTTGAGGATACCGCGTGGAAGAGGGAGCTCCTCGCGGGGAACGAGGCAGGAAACGTGGAATGGAGGCCTGCTTTGGAAAAAGGGGTCTCGCGATCTGGAACCACGCATACCATCCAGCTGTGTCGGCTGGGGATGATAGGAACTGTAGTTCCAACTCTGGAAGGCAAAGAGGTTGGATTGGGAGGCTTTCAGGCCTCTCCGCACCCAGACCGAGGCGGAGACCCAGACGAGCCGCTGCGAGAAACCCGCGTTGGTTCTCCCTCTCCGCCTCCCCGTTTTCTAATCTACCTTCGGCAGGAAACTCCTCGAACTCGTCGTCTTCTTCCAGAAGCCCCAAATCTACGGGTTGCTTCTTTTCCGACATCATCGGCCTCGGCCTGTTCCTGCCGCTCTAGAATACTCCAAGGAGTCCCACTCTACTGCTCTCCGCTGAGAATGACGGGATAGGCACGCGTACAATGGACGGCGCATGCGCCTTGGACGCGAACAGGGCGCATGGAGCTCGTCACTCCTTCCCTCCTCTCCCCTCCCCCCCACCCCCCGCCCCCGCGCAGGCTTGAGAATTTCCTCAATCTTCTTGGAGGAGAGAAAAAGGGAAGAAAGGAACCAGGAAGAAGGCAAATAGATCATTAAATATAGATGATGAACCATCTCTGCTTTTCTTGATTTGCAACATAGCTTCTTCTCCCTTTCTCTTTTTGTACGCTTAACAATTCTGAGATAGGTTTTTGTTTAGAATTGCTTAGAAGCTTTATTCCGAGATTATTTACAGTTCTTTTTAGTAACACTTTTACAGCAAGTTACTACCATTATTTATATCGGGCCTTTTTAATTATTGAGTTTATAAGATGATTCCACAAACATAGTAATGAATAAATTAGAAGTCACACAGCACATCTGTTTCATTTCACATCTGAAATTTAAGGTTTTATTGCAATCTGTAATTCTACATATATTTATATAACGTGGGAATACATATGTATTTTAATTATCGGTTGAGTATTCTCTAATTCTCTTAAATTCATTCTGTTTTAATTGTTAGCTTCTCAAAGATGGGTGGCTGTATGTATATACAATATTTAGGTATGTATATATTTTAAATTCCAAATAAAAAATAAGCCTCTCCATATTTAATATTTTCAAAAAAGCAGTATAGAAGTATTTCTGAAAAGATTAAGCTTATCAGACTAAGATGGAAGTTCCCAGTTTAAATATTTTTACCGCTTATCTGTTTTTGCTCTTTGCTGTTCATTTAAAAAAAAAAAAAAACTCAGTTGGCAAGTTAGTTTTGGTATCAATAAGGTTGTCCTGTAGACTGAGGTGCAACAAACTTGCAAATCTTGACTCCCCAGTGCAAAGACAAGTACCTGATTAGTATGAGTCACAATAAAGTAGGACATTTTCTTGATGATTTTTCTCTCCTAACTTAATTAAATTCCACCTGTTTTATGGAGTGCATGTTGAAAGGACTACACGCTGCCAGAATCTAAGTAAATAATTTTATAAGTTCTATTAATACCAAATAGCATTCAAAAGACATTAGTATTGCAACTAAAAGGTATTATGTAGATATTCGGCCCCATTCTCCTTAAAAAAATGTTTGAAAATAACAGAGGAAAACTTGAAAATAATGGAGATTCGTGCTAGGCTACTTCATATCATTTTATAAATAAAGTGAAGTTAATGAATAAATTTGACCATAAAATTTTCTAATGGAACTCTAGATTTCCAGATTATGAGAACAATGCAGTTTTACTCACAGTGTATTTAGGATTATAGCCTCATTTCAATAGTTTTCTTATATTGTGAATCTTTACATCTTTACAGTACCAAAATTTAAAATTCAGTGCAGAAAATAAAACCCTGTCAACAGGGTTAAATCTTTTTTTATGGTTTTATTTAATTTCCTTTATATAAAATCTAGGGTTATTATCTAAATTCCTAACCAAGAAGAGCACCAAATATTATAGCTTCTTAACTTTTTCTCTTCTAGATTTTGCATGTTAGTTACTAATTTTGCTGAGCAATTACTAACTATAAAGAATGATTTTTTTCTTGATAGTTATGTGCTGTATCAAATTTTGACAATAAATTGCATCTCAGTGATTAAAACTTAGAAAGTTATGTTGGCCTGTCACTAACTGGAATCCCATATTTAGCTAGAATTATCCTTTTACTTTGGAATTGTATGTGTAAAATTTGCGTTATGGCTTCATGTAATGGGGTGGGGGTACATTTATGTTTTTGTGTGTGTGCTTATATACACATACATAGTTTGCCACAAGTCTTTCATGCCTGGGCATATCTCAACCAAACCCCAAAGCTCTGCTCTAAACCATTCTGTTATAATTATAGTTTCTAGTTCAGGAATCAAAACACATTTCTTCTTGTGGAAAGCCTGTTGGATTTAAACCAAGTTTTTGTGTGTATTTCATCTACAAAATTTCCTTTTTGAACATTGTTAATTCAATTATAGCTACATCTAGAACTATTACAAGCTATAAATTGATCTCACTGACATCCTACTATACACTAATCATATGAAACATTTCACATTCTTAGCAAACCATGTATATAAGAGTTGCCAGAACCATGGGAGGACTAGGTTTTTTTTTTTTCTGGGTTATATAAATTGCTATAACTTACTGTTCAGAGAAGTACAATGGTCCAGAATGCAAATAGCAGATATTCAGCAAGTGTGGGAAGTGCTCTCTCTTGCAAGAGGAAATATTTTTGGGAGAGGGGAGGGGGTGCTGGCCCATTCTGGACTCCCATTTCTTCTCTATCAATAAACTTAATTATTTGGATGATTATTACCAGTAGTGTATGATATGCTGTCTAAGTTATTTTGTTTTAGTAAACATGTGACTCCTAGTCCATTCCAGAAGCCTAGTGTCAACTCATTCATTTTCACTGCTTTTCTTGCCTTATTTGCAGCAACAACTTTTGTCAGCCATAGGCAGATCAGTCACAAAAGTTACACAATTTTCTCTCTCATCGTCAAGGTTGATTTTTCAATAGTGAAATATTTTAGAGTTACTGAACTAGCTTATTTTCTGGCTTCAATTCCTGGTGCCTTTGGATCCAATAAGACACTCTTCCCTTATGAAAGGCTTCAAATCACAGCTTCAATTGCATTTGAGAAGGAGCTAAATTATTATAAGGCTACTGCCAATTTCCGGTTTTATGTTTGTGAGCGATTGGCAGTTATAGGAGCTTCATTTTCTACTTTATTGCAAAAACGCGAGTTGCAATAAGAATTAGACCTCAGACTCATTTGCTGCTTAGTATATCTGTTGAATACATTTTTCAGCTTCCGTCTCTGTTTAAAGAAGAAATTAGCCATGAAAAAAATTAATATTTATCAAGTGTTTAATCAATGAAAAGTCCTGATTCTTCTGTTACGTCCCATATCAATATGTCTGCATGTATCCAGCTGATTGATTTTTTTTAATTGCTGAATTGGCAAAGTTATGTATAATAACAATTTTTATATGTAACTTTGTAATTTGTCATTACGGTTTCTCTTTGGCTTTTGCAATCAGATTGCCGATGAAAGAAGAGGCAGACGAGGTCATCAAATCTCAAATACGTATCACTCTCACTTTTCATAAATGTATTCTACAGTTATGGAACCAGAGAGTAACTGATTGGATTTGGTAAGGTACCTAGCTGTGGTGCCTGCAGGGAATCAAGATTTATCACTTTAAAATGAAGTTATATTCTGCAGGAGTTGTTGAACTGAGCATTTGACAAAAGAAAACAACAGATCTTGTGGTAACTTTCAGCAAGTTTCAGAAAGGTTAAAACTAATTTCAGCTATAGAATAACAATAATGGCCATAAAGCTTCATCCCAAATTCAGACTGCACATGGCAGTCTGAATTTCATTACTTCACTTTATTTTTATAACTGAATAGGATTGAGACCTTAAAAAGAGACTACATTAAATGAATACATTGACAGTAAGAGAAGGTTCAAAAAGGGTTTGTGGCATGCTTAACAGAAACTAAAATCACATATATTCAATTTAATTTTGCATTCTGCTGGTGATTCAGACTAATATAGAGTTCAGAGTGTACATGGCAGAACAAGTTTGTGCCTGTGGAGTCTCTGATGTGTTTTCTCACTAGGCACTTACTTCGCTTGCCATATAATAGTAGTTCCAAGTTGCTGGTTCTTTTCCTTGAACACCAAGAGGCTGATTCATGAGTCAATGACTAGCACAGCTGGCTTGCAATGTGTCCTAGATTTAGAAGGGGGGAAATATGCAAGACCCACACTAGGAATGTTTTAGACAAGTTGTAACTTGTTCTGTAGATGGTCAGAGGTTAAGAAACACTGAACATTAAATCCCTTAGATCTTTACATTCAAATCTGAATAAGTAGGATCGTATGCTAATTTTATAAATAGCAATAATGGAAAATCACAAACTCATGATATCCTTCATAGCTTGCTACTTGACCCTTTTTAAAATGTGCAGTTGGCAGGGCAGTTAGAAGTTGGTCTGATACAGTAGTATTTTTTGCCTGGTTACAAATGATTTCTTGGAACATTCTTGTTCAGACAGCATATTGATTCATTGATGGCCCTTAAGGAAATTTCTGTACTATGATCCTAATTATTTGTAGTTTTGCACTTCTTGGTCTTTTCTGTTTATATAAATCATAGAGTTGCATGAACTACCAGATATAATGATAATACTTTGACATGATATCAATTGGTGCAATTATCAAATAAATAATACGATACACTGAGAATTTGCCTTACATGAAGGCTTTACCTGTAGAGAGTGATTTAGAATGCTTTTAACTGTATCTGCTTATATTTCCTCATTTTAAATTACCTAAGTTACTTTCTCCCCAAGTCGCATTTTTGTTTTTTGAAGGAAATGATGTGTTGTAATTAAGAGATAAAACAGGAGAAGAGATTTAATGAAATCCAGATCCTTAGTCTCTGCTTCCTTTGATTTCATCCAAACTACGTTTTCTAAAAAGAGAGGCAATCTAAAGAGTAAGAAGTTAGGATTGCCCTTGTTGCCCTATAACTGGAGTGCTATATCATCAATCGGTTTCAGAGAACAATATTTTGACCATCTATAGATCAAGTTACAACTTGTCTAAAACATTCCTAGTGTGGATCTTGCATATTTCTCCCCTTCTAGATCTAGAACACATTGCAAATAGAAAATGCTTCAAATTAGTTTTTTGTATTAGAAAGAGTAACAAAACAACTTGGCTGACAATTTAAATGAAAGAACTTTAGTTGGCAGCAGTCTACAGATCATTTAGATTAATCTTCTGTGACAGCATAATTCTTTAGACTTGTTTCTTAATTGGGTTACTCCAAGTCCATTGGACCTTGAATTTGCTAATCTTTTTGCTGGAGGAAATCAAGTTGGAAAAGGCCATCTTAAACTATATTGACCAGAAAAACGTAATAAAATTGGTAAAAT